TTTCTCAAAATTCATAATGATATTACAGCTTTCATTGATTTTTTTTTTCAAATTTGAAACATTGTCTAACCTCTAGCCTGTAAGGTTAAAAAAACAATAAACAATTATTCGAGTTGACTCGTATCGTGGTTTATTCTTGAGTATTGAAAATAAACGAATCGTTGGGTCAGAAAATTGATACTGAATGGAATCGCCATGAAGGTTGGATCTCTGCCAGGTTGCTCCTGGAAGGAAGGAGCTCAGCCTTGAGGGGCAGCAACTCACAAGGACGTAAACAGACGCACGGCCGGCTGGGCGGGAAACTAAAGAACCCAAAGAACAGCTCAGAGGGATGCCGGTAAACGTCTCACCACGGTCCGTCCAAAAAAGATCCTCCACTGTTCTTCAGTTCGTATTAAATTAGGTTCTTTAACATGAAAAACTGATGAAGTTTTACATCAACGGAACCAAGTTTATGAAAAGAATCCATCTATGAGCAGCCAGAGAAGAATCTGTTTAACATTCAAAGTCACGTCACCCCAGCAGCTTCATCCACTGAAGGATTTCTGACAGAATTAACAGAAGCGGGCCGCACGCCGTCCAGGAGGAGAATCCCACATGTTTCCAGAACTAATCCCTCACTGGAGATATTCAACCATAGAAATGAAGAACCTTTGGTTCCAGATTAAACCTGATACAACGTTAATAAGCGGATTAATTGGTGGTAAAAGAAAAAAAAAAGAAAACCCAACATTATCTTAGAGCAGCGTCAGCTGGAAAGGTTCTGAAATAAATCTCTTCACTGCAGCCTAATCGACCCGAGCAGGCAGCAGCACTCCATCAGAACCTGCAGTGACTGAGCAGAATCTGTCCGCCTCGGACTGGGCTTCCTCTGGAGCTGCTGCAAAAAGATTCTGCACAACTTCTAAAAGCCTTCAGGTGTAGTCGAAGGGTCAAAATATTAAACATTCTCTTCAAAATCCCAAATTTTTGCATTACAAATTAAACAAGAAATCTTCACCTAACATTTTGTTTGAATGTCATAAACCTTTTACTCTATTTAAAACACATCTAGGATATTCACCATCTACATCTAAGCAACACATTTCTGTATCAAAACATCTGATTTAACCTTTAAAATAAAAAAATGTTTGATAAACAGTTAAGATGTCAATAATCCTTGTGGTTATAGATAAAAACTAACGTTTAAACTTTGGTCTCTTAATTTCTCTATAATCTGCAGACGATCTAGAAACTTGGATTAAAAAAATAAGCTTTGATCTGCATTTCTTTTTGAAGCTTTCAGGTAGTTTCAGATTATTCTTATTGAAGGATTCTGGGATTATAAATAAAAAAAACTTAACTTAATTTCTCTGATTTAATGTTTATTTTCCCTGTTAGCTTTATGGAAACATTAGGATTATTTTATGAAATTTTGATCAGAAAAATGACCACCTTTATTTTGTTTGAATTTTTTGAACAAACTAACTAATCTGAGTGAATTTTCTTTTAACTGATTGATGAAGAGAAGCAAAAACTAAAGCAGATATTGACCCAGGTGGGAGTTTTTGCCCTGCAACCTGTCTGCCAGGCTCAGTTGGTGATTTTTGCCCTGCACCCTGTCTGCCAGGTTCAGGTGGACCATCAGATAGAGCTGAGGAACATCTCACCTCCTCCTTCTGCTCCTCTCTGCTCCCCTTCTGATCCGAGCTGCTCAGCTTCCTCTTGTTTTTGTTTTCGGTCTTCTTCATTGTAAATCAGCCGGGTTTATAATCCAGGGTTCGCTTCAGGGTCTCCGAACTGCAGAATTCATGCTCATCTCTTCGGCTTCAGGCTGGACTCTCCTCGGAGCCAACATGTCCGTTCGGCAGACACATCGAACCCGGGCTGGGAGGAGCTGTAGCCGGTGTCTCCTTGAAGACAACAGCCCCGGGAATGAACCGGTTCGGCTCACACGTGCATTCCACCGTTTAGAACTTCATTCCCGCCATTAACCGAACCTCAGCCCCCGCAACCGTTCGAACCTGTTATCTGGTCGGTTCAGTCCGGTTGACCTCTGGTGTTTCCAGGGAAACCGAAGGAGCTGCTGACGTCTACCTGCCCAAAAGGACCGGAACCGGTCCGCTCCTACCGGGCAGCCAGCTTCAGGCCGGTTCTGCTCGGTTCGGCTGCTCGGTTCAGATGAACCCAAACTCCACGCGGGAAACCGGCAAGTGCCTCTGCTTCGGTGAGGCTTGGTTCGGTTCCGTCGGTTTCCTGACTCTGACTCTGTCGGTCTGTGGGTCACAGCAGCGTCAAGCTAACAGCAGGGGAACGGAACTTCCGCTCTGGGCTCACCAAAATAAAAGACGTTCACAAATAAATCAAAATTTTCAATTATTTTCATATCTATGGATGTAATATAGTTTAGAAGTGTATTTTTTAAACACCTCCCTGCTTCACTTTTAATATTGAAATATTATCAGATAACTTTTGGAGAAAAAGTTATCTGATAATACAATGGAGGAATTTCCTTTAGATGGATAATAAACTTTTATTAAAATAAAACAGTATTTTTGCAGTAGCTCTATTTTTCCAACTGGCATGATTTCTGTACAAACTGCCCAAAAATTTGCCATATCTGATGTTTTGTTTTCTATTGATTTTTATTTTATAACTCAACCAGCTGTTGGGATCAAGATATTTAGGAGCAACAAAACTAAACTGTAGAGTAAACAGAAGAGAGCCTCTATCTCAGACCTTGGGGGAGTTTAAACATCTGAGATCAGAGATGAAAAACCAGATCAGAGTTTAATCTGCAGTAATGAATTTGGTTCTACCATGTGAGGAAGGAGATTTTCATCTATAGGAAGAAAAATTTCCTTTAGGAAGAAGAACATCTTAAACTAAAAGGAAAAACAAACAGGAACTTCAGACACATAGATAGATAGATAGATAGACAGACAGACAGACAGACAGGCCCTTCTATGGAGCAAAGTATTATCATTATTATCTATGTAACCTTTAAAAATGTGGCTTAATTATCTGAATGTGTCGGTCTAAACTCCAGAATCAGGTATTCTGTAATATTTTGGGTTTATTCGGCTTTAGAGAAAACTGATGAGGTTTAGCAGGAATGAAATACTTTTATTTTGGAGGGAATCTAATCTGCTTCCTCTCTGCTGCTCCTGTTCATGCAGACCTTAAATCTGAAGGGGGGTAAAAAATAAAATAAAAATAAAAAGCATTAAACGGCATAACTTACTGGAAACCCAAAACAGCCTTTATTAGATTTTTATCCAGCATTTATCTCTCTGTGTTTTCTATCTCGGTGTTTTAACGTGTCCTGCTGAGGCGCTCAGCGCTGTTTGTTGCAGGCTGCTGCCCCCTGCTGGCGGTTTGATATACAACCGTGAATTATTTTCACACATGGAGCAAATACCCTTGGGTGTGTGAACTTTTGATGTTTGTTAATGTGAGGGCATGCCTGCAGCCCCTGGTCCATTTTTACATAAACTGAGCAGGATTACTGTCAGTCACCTGTGGTCTGCTCAGAGCCATGTTTACAGACTGACCTGATCCAGGAACAGCGGCGGGCTGGAATCTGGCAGGAATCTGAGATGAACACAGCCACACACCCACTAACACAGTGATGGTGGGTCAGTGTTCAGCATCTATGCAGGTGGAATTGAAGTAGAGGGAACAAAGCAGCCCCTCCCTGATGAGAGGAGGTGGCATCATGATTGGGGCTCTTATCAGAACTTTAGCCCCTCTCCACCTCTGGAGCCTTAATAACTGCATCTGCTGATAACATTTTTTTCCAAAAATGAATGACACATTGTTTCTGGAAACAATGTGGGGTTAAGGGACCCAGAGTGGCAGTCCGTGGGAGTGGGGCTTCCACTCTAAACTCTCTGGGATCAAGCTCAATGCCCTAACCACTAGGCCGCCACTCTTTTATCCTTGCTCCATCTGATCCTCCAGCTTCTCTTGGGGGTTTTCACTTCCATTTTGAAGCTTCACAGCAATCTGACGTCCAGGCTTTGGGGTTCTTGGTGGTGTGCTGCTCACCACCCCTGAGATCTGACCTTCCAAACTCCTCTAACTGCACTTTTCAGATAGTTAACCTCATACCAGAACCTTCAATAACCAGTTTTTTGGGGTCTTTCTCTGCTGTTCTGATCAGAAGCTGTTGGTACTGATGGTCCTTAAGTATATCACTACATTCAGCATTTATAGAGTCAGACAGTCTTTAATATGATCCTGGAAAAATATTGGATTGGCTCTGAATCTAACTGATCATAAATCAGATTTATTGTTTTCTTATAAACTGAGAAGCTCCGCCTCCAGCCTGAGGAGCTCTTTGCTCTGTGTGACTAAAGAACCTGGTTCTGATGTGAGATCTTCCCCAGAGCTGTTAGATACCAACCCAGACAGAGGAAGAGTCTAAAAGAGAATCAGAAAACAAAGAGTTCTGCCCAATCAAACTGATTCATTTTATGGGAGGTTCTTCTACTGGTTTGTCCTCAGACACACCTGCTCCATTTCCTTAAAATGCTTATTTTTCTTTGTGCTCAGTTCAGTTCTGGATGGATCCAAAGCAGGAACCAGCGAACTGAGCCAGAGAAGCCAGCTGCCAACAGCAGAGTAAGTCAGAACTACTGTAAACTGAGCCCAGAGAAAAGAAACTGTGGGATCAGAATCCAAAACAAAGTCTGAACACGTTCTTTATAAACTAAATACAGGCCCTAAAGGTAGGTTCTGTTTTCATTAATTAAATAATAAGGTGGTTTCTGTGAGAACAAATGAGGAAGCCAGGAGCTGGAAACATTTCAACACCTTCTGCTTCAAATTTGAAAGAAGATATAATAAATATAAGTATTACATCAGACGGGTTTCCTTGTGTTCCTTTAGGCCAGTTATGGATCTGGACCTCTGACTTCCTGGACTAATGCTGATGGGTCTGCTGGTTCCCCAAAGCCCTGGGATTGGTTCTGTGACCCGGTCCAGACTGACGGTTGTCAGTGACTCAGTTTCTCTAATGCCTTTCAATCAGGACACCATCTGTTGCTCTTTCAGTTCCAGCCTACTTCATGTTGTCAAACAGGTTCTATCTCTACGTTTCACAGGTCTGGTGGTAAACAGGTCTTAGGAAGGACAGTGAACCCAACCCAAACACTGTGGCTGACTCAACATTTAATCAGGTTCCTGTTTAGGTCCAGGCCGCTCTGCACGTAATCAGCGTTTGGAAGCTGCTCCTGGGTTTCAGGTCGTCTTTGTCAGGGTGATCTGAGACATTTTAGTTTTTAACAAAGTGAGAAGCGAAGCACGTTTTCCAGTCTGTCCAGGTCAGACTGACAGATGATCTATAACTTCCCATGGAGAAAGAAAAACAGCTGCGTGTAAAACGCACCGGAGCAGCAAACCAACAGTCCACAGATTTTTTTATTGAAAAGTTTTTTTCACAACATGCATAGAAATCCAGCAGGTCCAGGACAGTCTCTCCCATACAGCAACAAGAAGGTGTTTAGCCCCACTCCCACATCCAAAAGAAGGAACAGCGCTAAATTTGAGCCGATTAGCCATTACTCAGTAAAAACCGGGTCGTTTTGGACCCGACCTGCCAACATACAGGGTGTCCACTTTGGTTCAACTTATTGCTTTATAAATACCACAACCCAGCAGAGTCTAACTCCTGCATTTCAAAGTGATCCTCAAAGGAATAAAAATGTTGGCGCCTCCGGCTGATTGTCAACAGCTTTGATCCAGAACCGGTTCTGTGATTCTTATTAATTTTTTTAACTAGACCAGATGTCAGGGAACCCAGACACGGCTCTTATTGCACAGTGACCCAAACTTTGCATATTTTAGATAAATGAGGAATTCATGCAAAAAAAAAACACAAAAGAAAATATAGAAAACTCTGATGTAAATAAAGAAGGTCAGTGTTGAAGATCTAATTCTATCCAGCTCCTACGGAGAACAACATAGATCCTTTATTTGAGACTAAACCTGAACTGAAAGACCCCTAAAAGGACTTAGTTCAAATGAAAGTGCTTGAATGAAGTGTCACCAATGTCACATCTTTCCACTGAGGGCTCCTTCACATTGGATGAACGTTCTCTACACTCCGGCTGGAAATCTGTGACGACTTCCTCTGCTGTTTCCCAGACGTTCTCCTGCTGTACAGATCTATGACCCGCCTACATACACAGTGGGACCACCTCTGGACCTGGAACTCTCTTAGACCTCATCAGGAAGCAGAAACACACCACGGGGTCTGGATGGTTAGACTGAACCATCACCAATTACATCACCTCCACACCACCACCTCTGTCTGATAAGCTGCTGCAGGGGAGGTTTAGAGGACAGCCTTCTTCCCCGTCAGCATCCTTTATCTGCGCCTCAGCAGATGCTGGAGGGCAGTTCAGAAAGACAAGGAACAGCATCAGCACTGGCCTCCCCTGGGAACCCTGCCTGGGGACCTTTCCCAGTGAAAGAGCAGCATGTGAGGAAGAAAAACCTCCATCAAACCCACCTTTAATGCTTCATTGTCCAGTTGTCCAAAAGACCACTTCCAGCCAAACCCTACTGAGACCCTTTCAAGACCTCAGAGACCCTACATAGACCCAGAGGAAACCCTAGAAATGCCTAACTAAGACCTCACAAAGACCCAACATAGAGACCCTGCAA